AAATGTAGCCATTTTCTCTCCTGTAACCCTCATGTTGGACATTGGAAAATACAAGTTTCATGCACGGTATCTCTTTCTTTAGTTACATTATTTTTTGTTGTTGTGTATCTAATGTCCTTAGGCACTTGAACCAAATCAATTTACCGGGATTATTAGAGACCATAGAGAAAAGTGTATTTGCAGCTTTTCAGAATGGAAAAATTTGCTGCTGTGTTTTCATTGTTTTTCACTTGGCGCCACAGTTAGTTGGTAAAGTTGAACCAAAGTTTGAGTTTGAGCTTCCAAAGTTAGATTCTTGAGTGGCACTTTCTTTTTTTCAGTTCATGAGTAGTGCTAAGGATTTTTTTTTTACTGCCAGAATCAAAAAACTCATCACTTACTCTGTAGTAGAAGTTATTCTTTTGACAGAACAGAACTGAATCTAAAATCTGACAAACTTGCTCCAAGTTAAATCACAATTCTAGTTTTCCCTCAGTGAGGGGGAGCATCACCACATAGTTTATATCCCTACATGTGTTTACAGACCATTGTCCAATTTTTGTGTAGCCAAACATACTGTAACTTCTCTTGAGAAATGTGTGAATATAATTGGAGATGATAAATCATATAAACGTTGGTACAGTAAGGGTCAGAATCACCAAGGCAGGCAGTGGTACTGAGTGTATGTATTTATTTTACAGAATTTCAATTAAACAAAATTTAAGTTTTAGGCTAATAAATTGCTCACTACAATAAAGAAAAATGAAACATTTTTAATTAAGTGCAGGGCTTTCAAATATATCTGCTTTTGCAACTCACACTTTCCTGCCTAGAGTAATAAACATGACCCTTAATTTAATAATAATTTTGCCTCCATCCATTTAAATTTTTTTATTTATTTTATTAGTGTCTGTTAGAGTCCTGGGTGACTCCATTTCATAGCTGAGGTTGGCAGTTGCTGTGAGATGCCCTTTTAACCCCAGATGTGTGCAGAGAAATGTTAAAAGATCACAGGTGTATTTGGCCAGTGAATATGTTAGCTGAGTATAGAATGTCAATGCAGGCAGCTCTTTGAAGCAGTGGATGTGAGGAACAAAGATCAATATGTCAGCTGCAATATTTACCTTGACCTGAGCTGCACAGCTTCATCTAATGTAAACAGATGTGGCTAAATTCCTGCAACATACATACAGTGGTCTGGTAATTTGAGGAACAGTTGGCTCCTGTTGGATACCTACTGTAGTAATGCAATTGATACCAAAGGTGGAAGGTGCCTCTAAAATGTTGTGAAGTTTGAAGTAGCACAAAATGAAAATGCTCAAAGTACAGATTCCTCAAGATTGTACTTGAGTAAATGTACTTTGACTTTCCATTACTATATTGATAAATGCAAGAAATTACAATTTAGGGAACGAAACAAACATCTGTATCACACACTGTATCAATGTGTTTAAGCAAGCATCTCATTTTTCTAAAGGATATCAAACACCACAGAAACTACTTTGGTTAGAAGACAAGATGCACAATGGACATTAGCAAATTTCTCTTTGGGCTCCCATTTAAATGGAAATTTGCCTTTCAATGATGTGCGGAGGTGCGTCAAAATGGAATATTAGATTAAATAAATCTCTCTGTTGCAGACAGGCACAGAATACCTTCTTACTTGATGTGAGAGACTAATGTCATAGCTTGTTACAAGTGCAAGAGCTTTTTGTGAGCTACAAATTATGGCAGTCATGTTAAGCAGTGAATTTGTTATACTATGTCTTACCTTAATATCGTCTTGTTCAGCTCCTGTTTACTCCATTAGGTGGCTACTGACCACCATTTAATATTCCCCTGAGCCAGACTTGAATTTCTCTTTTCTACTTTATTTTTTACTCCACAAAAAGCTTAACTGAATGTGCCCTGCTTCTCAAGTGTACAAAATCTGAAGCTGTAGTCTCTATCAGTACATATTGTGTACAACTCTGTTTTCAATCAGAACTAAATTACAGCCATACTTTTCAGTGTGATGTCAGTAGTGCTTCTTGATCTTCTCCACTCTCTTCACAGCATCCAGCACAGGCTTTTGTTTTGGATTCCAATTCCAAACAGGATAGCAATCACACTCCATCATTGCCCATGTGTGTGTGAGCTCGACTTAACCCCAGTTTATCCTTGACCGTGTTCCTTCTGTTTGTTCAGTGTCCAGACCTGTGAATGCCAGACTGTGTGCCAGTGAAGAGCCCCCCGCTGCCGTCCAGCAGTGCTCCATCCCCTGCCAGCGCCACTGCCTGCTCTCTCCATGGTCACCCTGGGGTGCCTGCCTACATGACAACTGCAAAGTTCCACAAGGGAAGAAAGGTATGATGGAATAAGCCCAGCTATAAGAGTGAACCTGCTTGAGCATGAAAGATCTGCAGTACTATATCACTGTAAGCAGTAGTCACTATGCTGTGATATATACAGTATGTTTTCAAAGCAAAGAATAATTATGCTACAGTAGATATTGATACAGTGCCACCTCCCAGCTACAGTGTCTGGTACCACCATGAAGGCAAGCTTGAAAAATTGTAGTATTGTAAAAGAGAGAGTACAGGGAAATTGAATAAAATGCATGTGGATAATAATGAATGCTGTGGTCATTTCAGCACATGAGTATGAAAGAAAATATGAATAAACTTAATACTGTATATAAGGCCATGCTTGTTCTGCAGAAATGTCTTGAAAAGAGCAGTGTGTTCCATGCACAAACACATAAGATCATGATAGCTGCTGTAACAAGATGTAATAACCCTATAAAAATTAGAGTATTCTTGTAAATAGCAAAAAAAAAACACACACAAAAAAAACTACAACGGGCGCCATCCTTCCAGCTGCCTTTAAAAGCAAAGTACTGTTCTTCCAGAATCATGTGTGACAGATGGAGGAACAGAAGGATACACACAGACCATCCAAAACTATATTACAAATGGCTACCTAACAAGCTGCTATAATTTAAAACTGAAACTGATAATTGCACAGATGGGCCAGCGGTGAAATGATAAGCACTCAGTCAAAAAACAATTAACTGCTGAGCTCTGTTGCAGACAGCTATGTTGTACATTTACAATCAGCTGTTCACAGCAATTATTGCCCAAGAGCTGAGTACATCGAATAAGGTCAACAAGGGGCTTTAGAGCGAGAGCTATTACACATGTACATGTTTTCAATTTAGCGCTGCACCATGTTTGAGTGTCTAAACAATGGATTGTGTTATGCTGTTGAAATGCTGAGAATGAAAGAGAGAGAGGTACAGTATTGTGGCTGACAGAGGCTAAGTGAGAGAATGCCAGTGCAAGGGGTGTGATGTTGTCAAAGCAGGCGAGGGAGACTGTATGTTTGAATCCTAAATTGTTTGCTGATAAGTAGCTGGCTGAGAGGAAGTGTGCTCTGGAAGAAGGCAGTACACGCATAAATGCCGCAGATGAAAGACAGAAAGAGAGCACACCTGTAGTTCTGCTCTCAGGCCCCAGGGGGCTGACAGGAGGATCAGCAGATAAGATGCTTCCTGTGTATGTCACCGTGTGTGAGTGGGTATGCTCAAGTATTCAGTGTGCTGTTGATGCCTGAAGGTTTTTTTTTCCACAGGTGAGCACATGTCATATCAAACTACTTTAGAGAGTCTACAGCACCGTACCCCTTGTGTAGTGTCCAAGTTTCAGTCAGTGTGCTGGCAGTGGTCAGAGCTGCTAGTGTTACAGTATGTTACAGTACAGCTGTGCTAAAAGGGCAGCACGACCTAATCTCAGTCGTGGGTAAACGTGCATGAACGCACCCAGGGGAGTGACTGAAGGGGGGATTATTCAGGTCAGTGCCCACAATCTCCAGCACTGGATCTCTATGGGATGAGCCTGCTCCTCTCACTGACAGTGTCATTAATATATTTCAGGGAATGGAAAGCACAGCATCTGCTGTTTTGCTCAGATTTCTCCAGTGGCATACTGTCTTTTGATGGCGTTCATAAAGTTGCAGAGCCCACAGCAGACAGAGGATGAAACCAATAGAAAATCATCTGCAGTGATCTCTGGCTGTGAGGCAACAAGCAGTTATTGAGTACTTCGGTATTCTTATGATACAAGTTGTTAGCCCATGGTTCTTGGGTTGCAGAGAATTTCTTACTCTTATTGTGTGTGCACTTAGCCTTTATGTGTCATAACGTCAAAATAAACTCTGACCACTCTCCAGCTGAAAGGGCTTTGGGATTTGAGTATTCAGGGACAGTAGAAGAGCCAAACAGCTAAGTCGTTTATGCTCCCCAGCTATGTTATCTGTAAAATTACAAGTTTAAATTGCCTCACAGTGGTTTTACTGTATGTGCTTTTCACATTTTTTAATGCTATCTTGGCCTATCACACTTTTTGGCTATAGTATGTGGGAAAGTGAACTGAATATAGAAGTTTACTGGATAGCACTTTTTGTAATGCTTCTACTAGAAATCTACACTTTTGTTTACAAATACCCTCTAGTAGAGGCTGTTTCTGAACAACAGTGTGATGAAAATCACTGAGTAGCCCCTATTTCCATGAAATGAACCTGGTATGGCCAGGGAACCATTCAATTATTAATATCCATGGGGGCATGCTCATGCCAAATTGTTGTGTGTGTGTGTGTGTGTGTGTGTGTGTGTGTGTGTCTTGGATGTGAATAGCAGTAAGTGCTTTGGGCAATACCGCAATCAATGCACAGTCTCTTAGCAGTTCAAGGGCACACTCGGTTCAGGCTGCTGAACTAGTGCCTCACACCAGTAGATGGTCAGGGGATGTAATTTGCAGAGTGGGAATCTTGAGGTTAGACAGTTCCACCTGTTGAGGGAAAGAATATGGGACCTTTCTGCCAAGTGTCAGAATAGTGTTAAATTCAGTGTGGCTCAAAAAGCAAACCTGCCGCAGCTCAAGTATCATGGACATTTATTGGTGGAAGCGCTCAAGTCTAGAAACAGCACTTTTATTTCTTCCATTTTTCATTTACCAGAACATTTTTCTGTGTCATTAGAGAACTGGAAGAGCTCAGTACTCAGTAGAGACTGTAGATTAAAACATGAGGTGTCCACTCAGCATGAAGCTTTTCATGAAGAAAAAAAAATGTAGTAGAGAATCAATGCTTCAGAGTGGGGAATATGAATCATAGTGTGGGCCAATTATGTCATTGATAAGGCAACTGGCTTAATGAGTGTCAAAATGTTGATTGTGACATTAGACATTTTACTAAGTACAATACATTAAAACCACCTTTAGTCATGTCATGTTAAATCCCATTTTAGATGTCATATGATTGCATGTAAAAGCTGTAAATATCAAAGATATAATAAGGGAAACCAAGCAGAAATTGGATGAATGAAAGCTGGCATATAAGGTGATCTGGTACTCCTGTGGTTTAAGATGCTGTGGACAGGGGCATTCTTCTTGTCCCTCTCTTTGTTCCTGCCTAAATGTCAGTCTCTCCTCAGTTTACAGCTGGTCCGGTGTAGAATAAGCCAATTAAACACTTAATAGGAAGTCCTGTTAGAATTTTTTTATCTGTTTACAACAATAATCTAGTCCAATGACTTAGTTTTAAGAAATAACAAATGTCTCCTACATGTTTTTCTTAACTTCTAATAGGCCTTTTAGTTTTGTTGTTTTATGGAATTTTTAGCTAACATCAATATGAAAAACTGATTGCAGGTTCAAAATGGCTTTTCTTCAGCTGATTCACAATTTTACATATTTTTAGGTTTGTCTTAAAACAACAGTCAGGTGCCATTAGAACATCAGAGCAGGTCTCGCTTGCTGTAATCATTCTTCCCATTCATACTGGCCATTTGAAGATCCTTCCTAATGTACTTTCAATGTACAAGATGGGGGCCAGAAATTACAGTCATTGTCCTGTGCAAAGTCAAAATTTATCTGAAGCCAATATGAGGCGTTAGCAGTCTGAGTCAGATGAATCAAGTAGGGATTTCAAAGTTTCAGCCTTTTCAGTTTGAAATGATCCCTTTTTTATTAAAAAGAGGTTTATTCAAGTGTTTCTTTTATGCATTGTTTGCTGTAAATATGAAAATCGAATAAACAATTATTTCCGTGTGTGTGAGACGGCATGATTACTGTTTTGTACAGGAATATCAATAGCTTCTCTGGCAACCTTTTCACTTCCCTCTGTTTTCTGTCAGGTTTCAGACAGAGGAGGAGAGAGGTGCTGTGGGAGTCCAGCAGTTCTGCCGAGACCTGTCCTCATCTGGTCGAGTCAATCCCCTGTGAGGATCCTGCCTGCTATATGTGGCAGGTTCAACAAGAGGAAACATGCATTCCCACTGAAAGCTCCTGTGGTCCTGGAACGGCAGTCCAGAATGTGACCTGTATCAGCAGCGAAGGTACTGCCCTGGATTTGTAACATAAACTGTTCCCATCCAAATTTAACAAGTAAACTGACCAGTCAGTCTCTGGTCCGATTTAAACGATGCAGCGTTGCTCAGTAATTGTATGGATTCATGTTTTTTTTTTTAATGGTGCTTTAAAATTATGCTAACCAAGGTATGCTATGGTGCTAACCACAGATTGCAACACTTACTCACAAATATAATTAGATTACAGCTACTAAAGTAGCTGTAAAATTCACCAAGGCTATAGTACAGCCATCAGTGCTGTGATCTGCACACAAAGTGATCTGAAGCATTGTGATGCATGAACTGTTAGGTATAATGTGATCCATTGTGCTCAGCCATATCAACGCATTGAGTAACAGGAACATCAATTTTAACAGCACATGCATTATTCACAAGGGACCAACACTGAGTTTATGGGCACAGAAAACACTGGCCTGATTAAAAATCACAGCTTCCTACCAGGCATTAATTGCTCATCTCCATAGATTATAAATCTAATTGCTCCCTTTTTGGGTTTAATTTTATTATTCTGTCATAATGGATCATGCATATGTTTATCCAGAAAACAGAAGAGGGTCTGAATATATTGAACAAGGAAAGAGTTTATTGAGTTTAGATGGGACAAAGACTGAGGGCTTTGGCTGGTTTGAGTAAAAAGGACTTACGAAATTATCTGCAGGGGATTTATTGTTAGTGAAAGCTAATATTTGTTCACGGTTTCTTCCTTAATTGGCCTTACCATTCAAGCATGTTGGGTTATTTTCAAACATAGGCACAACAGCGTTAGGACCAAGTTGCTAAGTGATGCAAATGTCTGGAAGATCTGTGTTCACGCAGTGGCACTGTAGGCTAGTATAGTAGTGACACAAAGGACCACACACATCATTGAGCATGCTAGTGTGATTCAGTCTCACACCTAGTCCTGGGTGTATGAAAGCCGTTATTTCCACTTTGGATACTTGCAATTATAAAAAACAGTCTTGCTTGTCCTATTTAAATAAAGAAAATGCTAAATCATAAATTGTCACATTATGTAATAGATTTGTTCTTTTTTTTAATGAATAGCTCTGATAAATGTGACTAATAAGAAAATATGGTTTGCAGGATGACGACAGTTGTGCAAAGGATTTGACAATTGACAATATTGTGGCAAGTTAGTGGACTCTAGAGATTCTGCCGAGAAATGACACTGGCTGTCTTTTTATGCAGGCTTCTCTGCTCCATACACAGCACAACCCTGGATACCTGTTGCTTTTATTACAGAACACAGCACTGCACATCAGAACTTAACACACAGTTTCCCCCCAAACGAACCTACCAAACCAAAGCTTCCTCCCCTCAGAACACTTACTACACTGTGGGCAAGCACACCAGTCCTCGCCCTCCGGGTGTGTAGCTGTCCTTGCGTGTGTGTGTGTGTGTGTGTGTGTGCAGTCCGTGGCACTCTCTGAGAATGCTACAATATAAATTCACTTTATGCAAATAAAATGCACCATCTACGTGCTCATTACACCTCATTAAACCCACTCCAAGTAATGTTCCAAAATCAAGTACTGTTATTTTTTCCTTTTAAGACAAATGGTGGATAGATCTAAAAATAGGCTCACAGAATAAGTATGTTGCTATGCTTTGTGCAAACCTGTCACTGACCCCTATAGATCACAGTTAAGTTTTTCTCGAGACAGATTATGCTTTTAGTTATTTTCCTGTTATGCTTGACATATGCATTTTGTAGACCCTGGAGAAAGCGGCTGCTAATTCCAAGTCGCTCTCCTCATTTAGAGTCAACGCATTCAAGATCTCCTTCTCAGCTGTTACACAAGTAAAGATGATAGACACTTTGTCAGCATAGTACTGGAAGAAAGGCAGGAAGACATGCTTCTCTCATGGGTAAAATAAAGTTCAAGCTTTTCAAGCGTGGAAGACTGAACTACATGTATTTCAAGCCCTTTAAGGTCTCAGTTTAATCAAAGTTGCCTCAAAGTTTCTCACTCTCAAGCACAAAACAACCTTTAGGAAGAACACACACACACTAAAAATAATAATAATTTGAGCGCACAGTTAAAATGACATATTATAGTGAATTACTTGGATACTGACCTGACCTCCTGCCACTCTCTTATCTGATGTCCCTCAGGGTGAATGAGGAATATAAATAGCCAAATAGAGAACATAACAGCAAATTAATCTAACTCGCTGCAAATGCCACTTCACATTATTACTGGCATGCTTCATTAGCATTCCTCACAGATATAATCTATACAACTGGATATCTGGACGGCATCTCCACTCACTCAAATACGCTCTTCGAAGCGGGCCCATTGTTGAAGATAAGTGACACTTATCAGGCATTGGCATTGGTTTCAGTGCCTTGTAACGATCAATTTTGTGTCAGCTCTGTGTCTGCTATGTACACTATGTCTGACTTTGTTTGAAATATGTAGCTTCCTATGCAGTAGAATCGAGGTTTTCAGGCAATTGTCACAAAAAAGAAGTTCACCCTATTTTAATGTATCACATAAACAAAATACAAACATTTCGATTTTCAAGTTAATGGATCATATTCTTCAGCTCAGATCTGGGATGTCTGCTTTGTTGTGCAAAGTAGGGAGATATAACACAAGATCTAAATAAAATGTTAATGGAAGAATAGAGGGCATTTTTCTGTCTTTTGAACTCATGATACTAAAACAATATACAACAATCAGTCAGTTTGATTTTCAGAAAAACAGTGGGATGTTAGTGACACTTTAACAGATTTCAGTGAAACAGAGTGCTGCCCTGAATCTCATTTATCACTTTGTATCAGGACACACTGAAGGGTAAAGACTGAAGTCAATACACTTTTATGTTTTAAAACAAGTAAAATGACTGTTCTGAACCTTTTTTTTTAAACTATGGCTCTAATCAAAGTAATCCATAGTACATCTGGCCCTGGAGGACTGTTAATGAGGTTATGTGCAAGACCTTTAAAGGGGTTCCTGTAGTGCTTTGTCTATGAACAGTTTCCAATAATATTTTACAATATTTTAAAGTTTTAGCAGTGGGAGTCTGTAGCTGTTGTGGCAAGAATTTTTAGACTGTGGAGAGTATAGTATCTGCATACATTATCCACTGGCTGGGATCATTTTTACTTTTGGAAAAAGTGAAGAAAATGTTTGACAGGGTACGGCACACTGAAAGAAAGAAGAGGTAGAAGAAACATACAGAGAGATGACAAATTAAAAGAAAAACCTACAGTAAGTGTCTTAGTAAGGTGCTGAGCCACCATGAGCCACCAGAACAGCTTCAAATGCAGCTTGGCCTTGATTCTCAAGTCTGTGAGCTCTACTAGAGAGATGAGCACTGTTCTTCCGAAAGATATTCCCTCATGTGATGTTTCGATGATAGTGGTGGAGAGCTGAGTTTAGATCTGGTGACTGTGAAGGCCACAGCATATGATTCCTATCATTTTCATAGTCCTCAGACCATTCAGTGACCCCTCGTGTCCTGTGGATGGGGACACTGTCATCCTGGAAGAGACCACTCATTTATTCAGGGTTTTCCTTTCATTTGTCACCTGTCTGTATTTGCAGAGATGAAAGGATTGTTAATGATAATCTGACACACTGCCACAAAGAGGAAGCATCTGTGATATGTGTATGAACAGTATTTTTCATTAGCAGCATGTTTGATAATCATATGCATACATTAGTAGACATAGCTGTCTTTGTCTATAGAACTAGTGCACACTTTGAACCCAGAATTTTCCTTAAAAATATTGTTGCTGCAAAACTATTTATGGATAAAAAAGGAAAGGTTTTGGTGGGAAAAATGCACTGTCTACCTTCCAACTCATTTCAGCTTTCCCTGTCTTGTTTGAGGAAAGATATTTTTAATTGGAGAGAGCTCACCAAGTCAGTCAGTCAGGGCCTATTGCTCTAGTCTTTTTTTCACTGTTACCACTTTTAAATAGATGCCTCTCTCATTCACTTAAAACCCGCTTTAACCCCCAACCCAATTATAAGTACATTCACACTGCTTTGGATCCTAACCTCTGGAATAATTGACATCACTGTGTAAGAGTGGATGAATCTTTAGTTGGTTTCAAATTAGTTTAAACATTAATAAAATCACCTGTTACTGGGGTCTGAGGTGCGAGCATTTCAGTCACATATGTGAGTAACAATGAATGTGTGCGAATGTGAAACGTTTTTTGGGCGCACAGGTGCAACTGGCTCAGAGGGCTGCTGAGCTCCTGGACACTAAGCAAAAAGCAGCTCAGATGGTGTGGTGAAACAATAATCAAGATGACAGCACCTATGCTTTACTGTATGGGCAATAAAACCTCCGCTTCAAAAATTTGTCAGAGCGATTGATCAAAACACCCACTAAACAAGCATAAACTTGCAGAGCAGCAATCATTTCAGCTTTGCCCGCAGACTCCCATTCACCACCAGTATGTCTTAAGGTATGTTCACATTACAAAAGAAAAACAAGGATCTTGTGCTGTGTGTTCGGTGCTGGTCGACGTTGAAGCCCAAAGAAATTTCCGAAGGTGCTGTGCAAAATTGCATAGCTACAATGCTAATGTTGCTAGCACTATATCACCAGTGTTATATTTTAGAGGAACAGACTTTTTTTTAAGTCTTGGTAGTTGCACTTGTGTGCTGATATTTCACTAGCTGAACAGGTTGTCTGTTTTTATCTGATCTCGACATGAGGATCAAATTATTGTAGCTTGGGAAAATTCAGAAACACTGGTTACATACTGTCACTTTGGGTTCTATGAGTATAGCTGACAGCAGGGGGAAACAGTGATTGGCTATGCGCACAGAGGTCAGTGCAACTGGAGTCAAAGTTCAACAGATTTGAACTTTTGGCACAGCCCTGCTCCATGCTGCACACCACATACACAACAATGGTGAGGCATGAGCAAAAGCGCTTGTCCTGATTACCAGAGTTTTAGTATTATTGTGGCAATGTCAGTTATTTTATTCATTTATTTC